ATGAAAAATAGCATCCTGCAGTCCTCTGAAGAATCCTTAGGCTTCTCTGCATGGCCATTGGCCGAAGCCAGATGCAGAGGTGTCCTAAAAATTAAACAGACGCTCTTAACCCAGACAGACAAAGGACGAGCCCAAGTTGTGTCTCTACCCAGCACCCTGGGGACCCTGCTCCGACTCTGCTCCTCCCGCTCGCTGCTGCTGCTGCTGCAATGCTGAGCTGATTAGCCAGAGGGTAGAAGAGAACAGGTGAGGGCTGAGGAGCTGCAGAACAGCCCTGCAGAGAGACCACGGCCAAGCGGCAGGTGGGCAACACGCCTTTCCAACAGCGCTGGAGCCTGGCCGGCAGCTCAGAGCAGTGAAAAGTTCAAGAGTTCCCTCTCCCCGCTGACAGGGTAAATCTCATTTTTCAAGCCTTGTCCTTAAGACAGGGCTGCCCAGGACTACTGCAACTTGGCTCAGGAGCAGCCAAGCTGTGCCATCAGCGTGGCCCAGGACTCACCGCATCTCCTGGTCTCGCCTGTCGATGCCGACTACCTTCACGTACCAGCGCCACCGCCTCAGCCAGCCCAGGTCGCCGCGGGCGGCCGCGCGGTGCAGCCTGCCCAGCCCCTGCTCCCGGAGCTGGGAGGTGCTGCTGGAGCTGGTGGCAGCCCAGGGCTGCCCACTGCTGCTGCTGGAGGGCGACTGCCGTCGCTCCTTGCTCAGAAGCCACGGCATGGCCCTGCTTGCAGCTCCCAGCAGCAGGAGTGCAAGAAGCCCCCGGCGGGCTGCCGGGAGCCAGGTAGGGATCAGGGATTGGGACGAGGGTGAGGTTTAGGGGGAGGGTGACAAAGGGGACAAGGACGACAATAAGGACGGGCACGGGGTAGAAAGCACAAGGTCACTCTACGCAGCGGTCGTGGCCTGCAGCTACCAAGACGGCGATGCAGGCACGCAACGCTCCCAGAACGGGATGTGCTGCTGCTCCCCGAGAGGCTACAGCAGCTCTGAGCGCCGGCTGCGGGCACCAACAAAGCCGTGTGCGACTGTCGCCTGTGGCGTCACAATGGCTGGTGGAAGGCTCAGCACGTCAGCGTGGGGTGTGACAGAGGCCACGGTGCAGGGTGGGGCCGGGGGGGACAGGGCAGGGCGGGGCAGGAGTGAGGGCGGCCCTGCTGGGCCTTGTGGGAAGGAGGCGGCCTGGGCCTTGTGAGGGCGGCCGGCGGGAGTGGGCACTGCCCCGCCTCAGGGCGCCCCGGGGCAGGGCCCGGGACGCTCCCACCGGGCCGGAGGCTGCGGTAGGCGCTGGAGCAGCTCCCGCATCACCCGCTCTGGCCTTTTGCTTCAACCTGGAGCCGGGCTGCCTCTGGGCACACTTCCATCAAATGAGGCTCAGCATGAAGTGGTATCCCAGCCCAAGCAAGCAGGGGCCACCACAGCTCTCAAGAAATGCCCACCCAGTGCTTCAAGCCCACCAGGCCAGACTTCCAGGACAATTCCCCAACTCCTTTCTCTTGTCCTGTTATTGTTGTGGCGGTCAATAAAAGAAAAGGCGCAGACAGTCTACTTCCAAGCAACAAGACAGGAGAGGAAAGAACCTTTATTGGAACAGAACACTGACTCTTATAGCCCTGGGCATAACATACATGTTAAACTACCATTGGTGTTTTTTCATAAACATATATCACAATTGGCTGCCCTGCATCACACCATGATGATTCAGCATTTACAGACTTCCAGTGACTTGTTTAGCTCTGTCTGCCTTCCCACAGACTTGTTTTCAACCCTGACATTGTCCCTCTTGAAGAGCAGACACCTCGCCCCCCCTCCCCCTCGCAACTGCTCTCACCTGCTGCTTTGCCAGATGCCAACAGTCAGTTTCTGC